GCTATTTGATCCTTATGGTTCCACTTCCTGGTCCCTGACTTTTGGTGGTCTTGTCATGTCCAGCAGATTGATTTGGTAGCTCCCGTCTCTTTGCTCCATCAATGGGATCACAATCTGGGCCTTCGTGAGCGTCAGTTCACCACGATGGAGGTCCATCACTGCCCCCAAGGCCTTGAGGAAGCGCTTGGAGATGAGCATGGGTACAGCACCTTTCACCACGTGCATCCTCAGCCATAGCTTGATGCCCGCGAGGAAGATGGGGATCTGCACGGTCCGATGTGACGTGTCCGCCGCCCCATTGCCATACCTGAAGTGGTGTGGACGGTGTTCCAAGTCTTTGATGCTCATGGCACTTCAGGAGGTCCTCACGTCGACGAAGCGTCTCTTCTCCGACAAGCCCTCTGCCACATCCGGTATCGACCACTCCATTCCCGGCGCTATGCACCAGTGCCACCAGAGTCTCCTCCGTCTCCGACTCCGATGACCAGTCGGGGGACTTCAAGGCCTCCTCTTGGGCCTTTTCCAGCTCATCCTTGTACTCCTGGGCCAAGGCCGCAAGCTCTTCATCCGGTAGATTGATCTCCGGCTCTCTCAGGTAGAAGATGGTTTGGCCTGTCCAATCATAGTGAAGATCCCGATGAGCTTCCCCTCGATGCTTCCAGTTGGGCGCAAACATCACTCTGGTGTCTCCATCCGATCGGATGGCCCGAGTCGTCCGAGCTTCACATAGGTCCTCGAGAGCTACTGGACATCCCGAAGCCGCCGGAGTAAAAAGCTGCCTCCTCGGGATGATGTGTTCCCTGATGACCTGACATCCCTGCACATGCCAGTAGTCCCGTCTCACGTACTCCCATCCGGCCACAGCGGCCATCATCTCCTGACCTGATAGACGTCGTCCCCAGGTGTGAGGGTTGTCGAAATGGGAGGTCTCCATCACCCCGTGCTCGTTTGGGGTGTCCGCGTAGTAGCCGTTGCTCATGATCGTCTCCGGCTCAAAGTAATCATTCGACCATGTCATCAAGACGTAGTTCACCTTTGAGGTAGTCGATGATGCATTGGATGAGTCCTCGGAGCCCGATTTTCCACTACCCTTTCCTTTCTTTGGGCAGTTGCGGCTGAAGTGTCCCACTTGCTTGCATCGGAAGCATCTGACCCTGCTCTCCAGCTTCTTGAAATCTCGTCCCGGGGTCACTGTCGCCGCCCCGAAACCTCTTGCCAGCTTGGTCTAAGATCAAACTCCCATGGGCCGTTGAAGGGATGCCTTTCGCCTTCTGCACCACCAAGTAAGCTCGACTCCAGCGTCGCCACCTCTCGTAGTCCTTCGAGGGGTTGGTCCTTCTTCTCCTCGGTCGCCATCTGATCCGTCGCGGCAGCCCTTTTCGGGCTCCGCTACCAATTTAAAGGGATTGGTCGCCCTTCAGCGAAGTTCGACAGCCGCGCCTGCGGCCGCAAAAAGCCTTTTTGGCTCAGGGGCTCAAGTCTAGCTTCCGTGCGGGACCCTCCCGCTCTGCATACTCGAGCCGGATGCTCGAGGGTCAAAACATGCTTGAGTCAGAAGCGAAAAACACATCACCCATGTTCAAATTACTGGTGAGGCGAAGTCGATATGCTCGAGTTCCTAACTGTATCCAACTGTGATAAATATCGCCAAGCTGGACTGAGCCCAGGGATGTGTGCAACCCCTGACAAAAGATTTGAGGACTTTTTTAAGCCAAGGAAGCTCCCTCATGTCAATGTGGAACTCGTGGAGCCATGAGGTAGCTCCTCCTAAAAATTGTAAATCTGACGAAACCAACCTGTGTGGTCTCCTACAACGCAGTGGGTTCTGTGCGGTCGCAATGAATTTGTTGGTACGGCTCAATCATAACCACGAATGGCCTTGGCGAGGAGGGTCCTTGTTTGGGGGCCCTTCCAAGTCGCCAATCCACTTGGCTCCTGGAACTAGACAAATTATGTCCTGGCGGTCAAATGCAATCAATCCTCTAAGTGAAACTGCCAATCCGATCCAGTTCTCATCTCTCAGTTGGCCACCTACACGTGCTGCTTCCAAGGAGCCCAGGTATACGGGTTTTTTCCTCTTCCTGAGCTTTGGAGAGATACGGTCTGCTTCACAATGCCCTTGCCCCCCTGTTTTCTCGAATTCCGGGTGTGGGCATGGCGATCTTCTCTGACATTCGCCCACCTCTACCAGATTTGCAGTAAAAAGTACACAGCAACTTCATATCATTGTAGCTACTGATGTGAGACACGCTAGGTCGAGTAACTATGGAGAACCAGGGAGAACCCCATCCTGGAAAAAAATCTATTCTCCCTTAATCTCCACGCACAAAGCCTTCTGCGCCTGTATCTGCTATCCTACAAGCAACACCTCTTAAAGACGAAGGTTGATCATGGATCGTCCAAACTTGACCAGTACTATGCAACAAAGCCTCGGAGAAGCAGTTAACTCACTTGTCCTCAGCTGATCTCCTGCGCAGTTCCGATGGGAAGGGACTGGATGTTCTGAAGGCTGGGTGAACAGAGTCCAAACACCAGCACCTGCATGCACTAGGCACATACCAGTATCTGAAGAGTTGCGCAGAGTAGTGACCACATTGGACCCAAAAACTAACGTGGTTCAGACAACATATTTTGGGATATCCAAGCATTCCGATGTATGCAAGGTTATCACCTCACCTCCACTAGTTTGACATGTATGTGAACCGCAGCCTTGCAGTTCGTCACAAACTATCACGTCTACCAGTCCTGAAACCTCCTCCACTGGCAGCTCCGCCTGCAAGGTGAGAGCACAACCATGTTACTTCCAGAATTCTCAATCAACCACACAGTCGACGAATCTCGACGTTGGGAAAACATCATAGACTGAATCACAGACTATATATAGAGTCTCGCCCAACTGCCCCATCATGTTCTAGTCCAAATGGGGCACCCACGGACCAAGCGGAAAACCTTGAAAGAATTCAACTTAAATCACGCAGGTACCTTTGGTCAACAGGAAGCTCTTGAACCGTGCCCCCTCGGGCCTCGGGTAGGGTTGGCAGTTCCTGCAGCTCCTCAGGCCAAGCGGCCTTCCCCGCAGAGCTCACCGCTGCCACCAGCGGGGTGAGCCCGATGGAGGACATGGGCGTGATTGCCGGGGATGGCACCTGGCGGCGCGACAAACCAACGCGAAAGGTGATTGTTGTTTTAGCAGCCCATCTTTAAAGGCTGCGAAAAGGTGGTAAGTAGGAAAAATACTAGGTTTGGTAAGTGGCTACTACCGATCAGTCGCAAGCTTCTTCAAGGAGGAGTGGGCCTTGATGCTTTGGCTCCTAGGCTTTGGGAACCTTAACCTTACTCCAGGACGTTTCCCAATGTGATGGTTTTTCAAAGCCTATTGGCCTATTGAGGTCCTCCCACAACTTAGAAGACTTCTTTGTGGATTTTTAATATAGATAGATATATATATATAACTTTTTAATCCATTTCCAGTGGCGCACGGAACAACAAAGTGCAGCGCCGAGCAGACGAAATTCCCTAATTTCATGCAAACATCCCTGACGCTTAATCCCACCTCAGTTCATTCTTGGATCGACACTGGTAAAGGTCGCGCTTCCCGGCGCCGACATGAGGGGATCACAGGGAAGAGCTGGATGTAGACAAGCCCAAATTGAGCGCCCACTCCGGCAAAAACAAAATTACACCACCGTAGACCCCAAACAGTTTGTGTTTTTCAAAATCGAAACTAGAGCTTGCGACGTCCAGAGCTGGGAGACAAAGGATTCCAAGGCAGAGGCGGCCACAGCAGCCCAGAGCTGGGAGACGAACGTAAAGGATTGCAAGGCAGAGACGGACACAGCAGTACAGAGCGGGCGGACACATCTTAAGAAAGAATTGAAAAACCCTAACAGTAAACCTTTTGGGGAATTATTCTTCAAGTGCGAACATGATGCTGGTCATGCTGCTCAATCAGCAAGGAGCTGACCACGTGAGGACAAGAAATAGAAGCATGAGGAGGGAAGGATGTGACATGAAATTGATTTTTGGCGCCTGACGCATGCCCTCCGTCCCAACTGAACAGAGAGATCGCTGCCACGCCGCCGAAATCCAATCCGGTCATTCATCCAACGCTTGCCCGAAAAGGAAAACAAAGCTGAGAGAGTTACACAGTGTGGCAGGAATGCACTCCCGGAGACAGTCACGCGGCAGAAAACAGCAGTGCAGGCACCAAACCTGAAAGACAAAAAGAAAGAAGCCGCATGGGAGACAAATGAATCTTCATGGCCAACGGACAAGGGCGGACACCACCAGTGACAGACCTGAAAGACAAATGAATAGAAATGCTACATGGCAGTGACGGACCTGGGAGACAAATGAATAGAAATGCTTCATGGCCAATAGACAAGGACACACCAGTGACAGACCTGGGAGACAAAAGAATAGAAATGCTACATGGCCAGCGGAAAAGGGCGGACATCACCAGTGACAGGCCTGGGAGACACATGAATAGAAATGCTGCATGACCAACGGACAAGGGCGGACACCAGCAGTGACAGACCTGGGAAATGAATCGAAATGCTGCATGGCCAGCGGAAAAGAGAGGACACTGGCAGTGACAGACCTGGGAGACAAATGAATAGAAATGCTACATGGCCAACGGAAAAGGGCGGACACCAGCAGTGACAGACCTGGGAGACAAATCAATAGAAACAGCAGAAAAGGGCGGACACCACCAGTGGACAAATGAATAGAAATGCTGCATGGCCAGCGGAAAAGGGCGGACACCACCATTGACAGGCCTGGGAGACAAATGAATAGAATGCTGCATTGCCTGCAGAAAAGGGCGGACACCAGGCCAACGGAAGAGGGCGGACACCACCAATGACAGACCTGGGAGACAAATGAATAGAAATGCTACATGGCCAGCGGAAAAGGGCGGACACCAGCAGTAACAGACCTGGGAGACAAACGAATAGAAATGCTACGTGGCCAGCGGAAAAGGGCGGACAGCAGCAGTGACAGATTTTTGGGAGACAAATGAATAGAAATGCTACATGGCCAGTGGAAATGGGCGGACACCAGCAGTGACAGATTTTTGGGAGACAAATGAATAGAAATGCTACATGGCCAGTGGAAATGGGCGGACACCAGCAGTGACACAAAGGGCGGACACATCTTAAGTGGGAGACAAATGAAAGGAAATGGGAGACAAGCCGGCCGGGAACCCGACCACAAGCACAGAGGCTGGGAGACAATGAAAGGAAGTGGGAGACAAGCCAGCCGGGAACCCGACCACAAGCACCCAGGCTGGGAGACAAATGAGAAGGGAGACAAATGAAAGGAAGTGGGAGACAAGCCGGCCGGGAACCCGACCACAAGCACCCAGCCTGGGAGACAATGAAAAGAAGTGGGAGACAAATGAAAAGAAGTGGGAGACAAATGAAAGGAAGTGGGAGACAAGCCAGCCCGGAACCCGACCACAAGCACCCAGCCTGAGAGACAAACAAATGAAAAGAACTGGGAGACAATTGAAAAGAAGTGGGAGACAAATGAAAAGAAGTGGGAGACAAATGAGAGGAAGTGGGAGACAAGCCAGCCGGGAACCCGACCACAATCACCCAGCCTGGGAGACAAATGAAAAGAACTGGGAGACAAATGAAAGGAAGTGGGAGACAAGCCGGCCGGGAACCCGACCAGACCATCCAGCACCAAGGCGACCATTCTTTAAAGCATTGAGAACCCCTAACAGTAAACTGTTTGGGGGATAAAACGGAAGACGTACTGACATCAAAAGCAGTGGTCTTCGTATCAAAAACAAAAGCAGCCAGGGACAAAGCGCTGGCTGGAACTGTCCTTAAGTGGCACTATTTTCTCTCGCCGTGCACCCTTTGCTGCAAGTAGCAGCAATGATCCAGGCGCTTGGGCACCAGATGGCACACGAGCTTAAACTCTGCGTTGACGCGCGGCCGTCAAAACGTTACTATATTGAAAGTCGTATCCGTGATAATCTGTGCGGCTGATTCTGCCACGAATGAGTTCCTTAGATCTATAAGTCCATTGTTGTCTTGGTCTGCCGATTCTTCTTTTTCCAATTTCAACGGGTTCCGCATTGTCTGGCTCGTATGTGACCTGTCTTAACGGGTCATTGTTTGGAGAACGGAGGATATGTCCAGCAAGTTTTACGCGCCTTTCGTCCAAAGTTGTAGCGAATGGTTCGATACTTCCATTGCCCAATGGGTACGCTATTTCCGACGCTCTTTGATAAACTCGCTGGTTAGTATCCTGCCTATCTATATAGGTGGTTTGCATCTTCATGATTTTTCTGAGGCCCCTCAAATAAACGCATCCAACTTTTTCCGCAAAGAACCAGTGAGATGTACAGTTTCCAAACAGTACAGTAGCTTACATGTAATGACAGCATCATAATTGAGAGGCTTCCACCTGGGAGTGGAATTAGGGTCCTTCCATAAAATGTCAAGCCTCAGCCATGTTCGCTTCGTGTCTTGGATGCGTTGTGAGACTTCACGCGCTATGTTCACAGTGTAATTCAAATTATTGCCCAAATACGTAGCATCTCGAGCGTTATTTAAAGGGGTTCCGTCATGAAAATGTATGTCGGCATCATGGTACATCTGTATGGAATGACATTTGCGTCGGTTAATCTTCAACCCATAATATTCCCAGCATGTCTCCATATCGCTAAGTAATTCGTTTAGGGCAATAGGTTGGGTTGAAAATAGAATAGCATCATCTGCATAAAACACTGTATCGAACTGAACTCCAGAAATTCGCGCGTTGAAAACCAATTCTGAGCAGTTCTGCTTCACGTGTGTATCAACACAAGTCATGACCAGTAAGAATAGGTAGGGGTTAACGGACATCCCTGTCGTATTCCTGCGTTCTGCGTTTTAATTGCAGCTTTATGAACGTAGAAGGTTGGTGACTGGTACAAAGCTTTGATGGTACTAATGAAATGGTGAGAAAAACCGAGTCTCCTCATTGAAGCAAAAAAAACTTTGAATGTTGAACCTTACCAACGCTTTTTCCCGATCAATTAGAGCTAGGTAGAACTGTGCGTTTTTCTGCTCAGACCAGTCTTGCAACCTTCTGATTAAATACGTAGCATGAGCGCTAGATCTGCTTGGCCTGAAGCCATACTGCGTCGGTGAGACTTTCAACTCAACTGCTTTCTGTATTCTGGCGCGGACCAAGGAAACATAAACTTTATATAACGCACTGAGTAACGAAATGGGTCTGTAATTCGATGGATTGTCTACATCACCTTTTTTGTAGACGGGAACTACACGTGCCATTAGGATGTCATGCGGGGTAGTTGCGTCCACCCACCATTGGTTTAAAATGTCTAGAAGCAATTTTCTATCAGTGTCGAGCCATTTATACAACTCAACAACTACGTGGTCCGGACCCGGTTGTTTGTTGACTTTACAATTTTTCAGGACCTCCTGAAGCTCTGCCAAAGAAAACAAAGAACTGTCACAAGCTAGGGGGTCACCTATATTATCTTGTCTAGGTAACGGGCCCCGACCGCAAGCGTTGCACCAATGGTGCTCTTCCAGATAGGCGGCAATGGTCTCAGCTCGCTCCTTGAGGGGAACCAAACGACCATTTCCATCTTGCATACTCACGTATGATGGTCCTTCCTAAGGTAATTCACTGTCTTCCACATAGGATCATTCGGGTCCACTTGGAACTGATTGACCACTTGCCTCTTGCGGTAGCGTCCTTTTTGATTTGCCTGTCAAGAGATTTTGCTTCATCGCGCTTACCCTTAAGTGGCACTTGCCTTTCGCAATGCCAAGCGGATCGCAAAACAAAACGACCAAGGCATACTGGACCTCGAGCCAACGTGATGGCAAGTGTTGCGCTGCATCATCTGTTCCTCCTGGCAGCTGTCATCAGCACTCAAGCCTTGCGCTGCCACCATCCGTCTCTGCTAGTCTGCTAGTAGCTGTCATCGGCGCTCAAGCCTTGCACTACCACCATCTGTTGCTCCTGGTAGCAGTCATCGGCGCTCAAGGCTTGCACTACCACCATCCGTCTCTGCTGGTAGCAGTCTTCGGCGCTCAAGCCTTGCGCTACCACCATCCGTCTCTGCTGGTAGCAGTCATTGGCACTCACCACCATCCGTCTCTGCTGGTACCTGTCATCGGCACTCAAGCCTTGCACTGCCACCGTCTGTTGCAGTCACCGGCGCTCAAGGGATGCACTACCACTATCTGTTGCTCCTGGTAGCTGCCATCGGCACTCAAGCCTTGCACTACCACCATTTGTTGCTCCTGGTAGCTGTCATCGGCCCTCAAGCCTTGCACTACCACCATCTGTTGCTCCTGGTAGCAGTCATCGACACTCAATCCCTGCACTACCACTACCTGTGGCTGGCAGCTGTCATCGGCACTCAAGCCCTTACCCTTGCCGCTCTTTCCTCATCATTGCCGCCGAGGTATTCCTCCATGGTCATGTGAACAGCTGATCCAATGCACATCGCCTCCATTCTATGGCACATCACTTTGCTTTGATGCCGCTGCTTACTTCCAAGCCTTTGCATACGGTGTCGACATAAAGGGCATGTCCACGGCGTGTTCGTTTTCAAGCACTGGGGCGCATCAAATTACCGCTGCTGCCCTGGCACCATTTGGGCCCTATATATATATATATAACTATATATCATTCCAAATTCAATTCTAATTGCATTCATGTCCTATCGCTGAAAAATAATGACCACAGGTAAGCTTTCATCAACATCATTACAAAACCATGTGTGGGACAATACATGTTCCTCAAAGGCGAGGACCCTTACTTCACCTGTACAGCTGCAGGTGAGTGGAACCCACTCGTCTGGCCGAGCACGCGCGCGAGCCTTCTTGGGCTTTGGGCGCGGTGGGCCGAAACTGACGCCTCCTCCACTGGCGCAATGCGCAAGGACCTGAAGGACAAAGACGGAATGCCCCGCTCTCATCAAAAACAAACACTCCTCACCCAATCGAGCACAACACACCTACCACAAAAGCTTGCGAGACAGATTCGTGTTGCGCTTCACACTCGTTTCTGCCGTCTTGGTAGGGACTTCTACTGGGTGACCCTTGTGCTCATCATCCACTGCTACGCTAAATGCAGCGCAAGTTGCTTATGTCTGCTATACAATGCGATCAGGCATTGAAGCTCAGAGGCTAAGAGCATTTGGCCAAGGTGCACTAAGCTTGTCAGTTCTTGGCTTTCGCGCTTTTGGATAGGTGGCCGAGAAGGATGCATTTCCTGATCACTGCTAGACTATGACTCAAGAATGACACCAAAAAGGTCTTCTCAAGGGAACAAGGAAGAGCTGGCCATCATAAGTTTCTCCCAACACATCGGCAAACCAAACTTGCAACATCCAAGCGTCCTCCAGTTCCACTGCCAGGCAAGGGCACTGAAAGGCTCGATACCATGTCGATGTGGAAAAAGTTCACCCCGAAGCTTTGGGAGTGGAAGCTGGTGGCATAAAATGAGGACACGCGGGCCTTGAGTTGCTGGTTGTGTAACGTTGTTTGGTTTTTGAGGTCAAGGTTTTCTCTTAAGGTGTTTGCAGGTTGTTTGGGAGCCAACCCAATGGACACATGCAAGTTGTGTGAACCATGTCGTGGTTCAAAGGCTTGGGAGGTCAAACGCTTGAGAGGATCCCTAACAGCTTGCTGGCCTGCCACCTTAGGCGGAAGGGAGCCAAGCGACTGCGGCGAGTCAAAAGAATGTTTTCACGTTCGAACGATTTTTTGTGGAAGCCTTCTTGGTCAGCATGGCTGTTCTGCAACAGTCGCTCCATCAAAAGCAACAACTGATAACTGATACAGTAACAACAATATTAATAGATTTAATGGAAAAATAAATATATATATATATATAGAGATACAATATATATATATATATACATGCGATAACGGCGCTGCAATTCAAACCACAACAACACCGCCAGTAGCCTCGTAGCTTTCTGCAGGCGACTTTTGAATCAGGCTGGTCGAGAGCGACAAACCCGTTTCAAGCCAATGCGGAGTGGCAATTGTTGGTGGACAGTGGACAGTTTGTTGGCGCAGTCTGCATCGGCCAGCTGCACGTGCGGTGGCTTTCATGTCCTGCGCAACCTCCTTCTCGAACAGCAAGTAATCCTGCGCACTCCACGAGGGCGTGTCACTTTCATGGAATGGCTATTCTTCGTGGAAAAGAACATCTTCCATGGATCTCCGCGCCCCCATCGCGCGAAGCATGATCCTAGAACCGCGTCTTGTTAGCATGTGTTCGAACATGATTGTAATATCAACAAGCAGTGGCTGGCATCTATCTTGCAGCATGACCCACACGCAAGGTTGAGAATTGTTACAGCTCTTAGTTTAGGGTCCCTCGCAGCATCTGCGCGACAAACCTTGCGGTACTGGAGGAGACTTAGAATAGAGTCAGGCACAACTCAATCCAGCCCTCGTGCCACCTACCAACACAGGATAGTTTAGCTCGGGGAAGGTTAGGCCTTTAGCGGCACATCTTGCGCAGATCTTTCGCGAGAAGTCACTAGATATTTCCCCCAAACATCTGCACAACAACTGTCAGAGCTGCAGGTCGTTGCTTCGCTGACACGGCTGCGCAAGGGCGATGCAGTTGTTGGTTGTTCGTTCACTTATTCACTTCATGAAGCACAGTGCTGGACGCACTGTCAGGGCTGGGCGAGGAAACGTTGAGGTTTCAGTTCGTTTGTCTGCGCCAGTGGGGACAGGAACCGCAGAATCCTTTCCGAAGTGTGAGGGCTGGGCAAGGAACCGTTAAGGCTTCAGTTCGCTAGTCTGTGACAGTGGGGACATGTGGTGGCACTTCCGCCCGCCGGGCCTATTGCCTTGCATTTCTACTACGGTTAGGTAGAAAGGAACTAATATTAATATGAAAAAGATATAAATCGCGAACCTCATCGCAGATCTTTCGCGGATGGTTTGGACTGCGTCCGAAAGGTTGCTTTATGATGGGGCCTCCCATCTGGGGCCCCGGGGTGGATGGGGCCCAGAATAATGTTTTTGTTATTCAGGGGTGGTGGACCTACACCTGGCCAAAAATTATTCCATATGTGAACACCTTTCAGGAATAGTTTACAGCATTTTACAGCCATGTCTGCCTTGCAGTCTATAAGTGATCTTACACGCGTTCCAAAAAGCAGGCTCAGTTTCACTACAGTGATCTTCTGCGTTTTGATTCCTCCTCGTTTCCGGTCGCGTCAAGTGATCCAACACGCAGCAAAACGGCTGAACTTTTCAGATCAGCAACCCCCCACGTGACTTCCAGGACGGCGAGCCCACGCCAGAAGCCAGACCCAGAAACCAAACTTGGGAGCAAACACCGTCAGTGCCAGGTCATAGGTGACCTAACCAAATCTTTTGTTGGGACTCCGAAAATGGTCTCACGAGAAAAGAGAGCTGTCAGATCTGTGGAACTGTGAAGAACGCCCCTTGCGTAGGGGTGATCACGTCAAAGCCGCCCTGGACTTAAATCTGCTCAGAAACCAAACTTGGGAACTGCCAGATCAGGGCTCCTAGGTCATAGACGCCCCAGCCACATCTTTCTTGTGGACTCTGAAGCTGTGAGACGTGTGACCTGCCCCAAAATGGGAAGTTTGCCTCGCGTTGTAGGCCACTGTTCAGTAGACAGCCAACTGCTAAATTATTCCAAGGTCTATCACATCAAACCCACCCCTGGAATTATTTCAGTCCACATAGCAAGCAATGAGAGCCACCAACGACAAATATAATCCCAGCGGTGGGTTTGATACGATCGACCCTGGAATAGTTTAGCAGTTAGCTGTCTAGAAGGCAAACTTGCCCTGTTGGGGCACAAATCTTAGAGCTTCCACAAATCTGCAGCTTCAGGTCACACATCTCACATCATCTCACAGCTTCAGAACCCACAACCACGGTGTTTCTTCGGGCACCTATGACCCAGCACCTGTGACCTGACAGTTTCTTATTCCCTGGTCTCGGGTCTACTCCCGTGAGACCAATTCAAAAATTTAGTGCCGAATTTGGTGTGGTTTCTTTCCTTGACTAAAATAATTCCAGGGTGGGCTTGATGTGATAGACCCTGGAATAATTTAGCAATTAGCTGTCTACGGAGCAGAGACATACAACAGGCACATATCTTACACAATCCACAGCTTCAGGTCACACGTCTCACAGCTTCAGAGTCCACAAGAAAGATGGTCCTGGAAGCCACAGGCTTCTAGACAGCAGATTTAAGTCTAGTCTAGGGCGGCTTTGATGTGATCACCGCAATGGGGAGCATTTGGCCCGAGATGGCCCACGCCACTTTTTTCGCAGTTCCACAGACCTGACAGGTTGAAGGTTTAAGAACGAAAGGCGTCATAAGGATCCTTGTGACACCTTTCCTGTTCCCCCATGATTGTGATCGTTTTTGGATTTTGAGCCAGCTGCAAATGCGAGCGTGTGATGTTGCTTCTTGAAGTTATGACATCATTCCTTTATCACACCTTGAAAGTCCATTCCGACCATATTATTCCAGGGTCCCACCCACCCACCCCAACATGGTGTAGCCAGTCAATTCCGACCTTATTATTCCAGGGTACCATCCACCCACCCCAACTTCAACATGGTGGCTTTAATATTCTGTAAAAAAAATAAAGTATTCTGAAAAAAAATCCTGGGGGTGACCCTACCCTGGAATAATTTTCGACAGGAGGGCCAATGTTTTATGTAAAACCCCTTACACGCCCCTTTAGATCGATCAACTCACACGTCCTTCACCTAGTCGAAGTTAAAGTCCTTGAGGCATCTGCCTTAAGCGCTTGTCAGGTTTCGCACCACCCGCCACGCATACGGAGATGTTGCCGCGGACCACCTGGACCTTCATGCTCTTGGGGACGATGGCAGGAGCCGTTCCAATCTTAGGCACAACTCCTTCAGACAACCTGGCTTCCAGCTCTCCGCGGATTCTGTCAAGCTCTTGCTCTCCAATTGGCACGAGTTCGGCATGATCTGAAGCTGGAACGCCCCTTGGTTTGCCACTCGCGTCTTCTGACCCACGTCCGTGGGCTTTTGGATCCAGCAAGGTCCAAATTCGCCAGGTTCGCCGTTCGACTTGGCAGCAACGTTCCCATCGCCAAATCTCCTAGGAGCAAACGTATGTTCATACCACCCGTTTTCCGGCATATCCCCGTACTATCCAGTCCCTCCCAAAATACACCACCGTAGACCCCAAACAGTTTGCGGCTTTCAAAACCGGAACACTCTGCAACTAGAGCTTGCGACGTCCAGAGCTGGGAGACAAAGGATTGCAAGGCAGAGGCGGCCACAGCAGTCCAGAGCTGGGAGACACATGTAGACCCAAGGAGACAACCCAGAGCTGTGTGACAAATGCAGTCTAAACACAGGAAGACATGTGTAAAGGATTGCAAGCGACACGCAGCCCAGAGCTGGGAGACAAATGCAAAGGGTTGCAAGGCAGAAAGCTGGGGAAAAATGTGAGGGGTTGCAACCGAGAGGGGGAGAGAGGAGGCACATGTAAAGGAAAGAAGGAAGACAAGGCGGACACAATGAGCAACAAGAAGGGGGACAAGAAGGGAGACAAAAGGAAACAGAAGGAGACAAGACGGACACAGTGTCCAACAAGAAGGGAGACAAGACCGGAGACAAAGGGAAACAGAAGGGAGACAAGCCGGACACAAGGCGGACACAATGACAAACAAGAAGGGAGGCAAAAGGAAACAGAAGGGAGACGAGACGGACACCGTGACCAACAACAAGGGGGACAAGACCAGAGACAAAAAGAAACAGAAGGAAGGAAGACAAGGCGGACTGACCAACAAGGAGGGAGACAAAAGGAAACAGAAGGGAGACAAGACCGGAGACAAAGGGAGACAGAAGGGAGACACGCGGACACAATGAAGGGAGACAAGAAGGCAGACAAAGACAAGGCGGACACAATGACCAACAAAAAGGAAAAAGGGAAACAAGAAGGGAGACAAAAGGAAACAGAAGGGAGACAAGACGGACACAATGACCCACAAGAAGGGAGACAAAACCGGAGACAAAGAAAGAATGAAGGGAGACAAGGCGGACACAGTGAGCAACAAGAAGGGAAACAAGGCGGACACAGTAACCAACAAGAAGGGTGACAAGACCAGAGACAAAGGGAGAAGGGGCGAGGCGGACACAATGACCAACAAGAGGGAGGCAAAAAGGGGACAAAAGATATCAGAAGGGAGACAAGACGGACACAATGATCAACAAGAAGGGAGACAAGAAGGGAGACAAAAGGAAACAGAAGGAAACAGAAGGGAGACAAGACAGACGCAATGATCCACAAGAAGGGAGACAAGACCGGAGACAAAGAAAGAATGAAGGGTGACAAGGCGGACACAGTGACCAACAAGAAGGGAGACAAGAAGGGAGACAAAAGGAAACAGAAGGGAGACAAGGCGGATACAGTGACCAACAAGGTGGACACAGTGACCATCAAGAAGGGAGACCAAGGGAGACAAGCCGGACGGAAGGCGGACACGCTGTCCGGCAGCAAGGCGGACACTCTTAGAAAGCATTAACAGTAACCTGTTTGGGGAAGTACAGAAAACACCTGGGAGACAAATGAATAGAAATGCTGCGTGGCCAGCGGAAAAGGGCGGACACCAGCAGTGCAGGCACCGAACCTGGGAGACAAAAGTAAAGAAATCACTTTAAACACAAACGAATTGAAATGCGGCAAACTGTTTGGGGAATGAATGGAAATGTTGCATCGCCGGAAAAGGGCGGACACCAGCAGTGACACACCTCGGAGACAAATGAACAGAAATGCTACATGGCCAACGGAAAAGGAAATATTGCAAATGAATAGAAATGCTACATGGCCAGCGGAAAAGGGCGGACACCGGACACATCTTAAGAAAGAATTAAGAACCCCTAACAGTAAACTGTTTGGGGAAAAATGTCAGTTGTCTATGGGAAATCTCCAAAGGCACACTGGGACTTGTATGCGAACACATCGGCAAGTGTGGCACTTGAAGCACTCGTGCTTGGCTGTCCTGTGGGTGGGCTTTCTCATTCATGAGGTCCTCGATCAAGTCCAGCACTGATGGCACGCTCACCATGTGCAAAGTAGCGGTTGACCTCATTGCGCGAATGTCTGATGTACCTCAGGTGTGAATTGAACAGCCTGTCGATCTTCTCATGCACAACACGGGACAAAGGAAAACTTAATTGCAGGCTGAAGCACGCCTCCTTTTAAGCCAAGTCGCTGCACTTCAACAAGCTCCCGCTTTGAGGAGCAGTCCTTCCACGCCTCAGCCGTGCCGTGAGCACCACACATGCATACATGACAATACAAGTGACCACAACAAGCGGGCTGTGTTCTAAACACTGCTGAGTTGCCTACGCTGGGCGTTTTGCAGGGTCAGAATTTGTGGGAAGGGTGGCTTCGCGAGGCTTCTTCGTACAACACCAGAGGCTTCGCGAATTGGCTTCGCAATCTTTCGTACACTCTCTCAGTTAGCCTTTGCAAGTTGGCTTCGTCTGTGTGAAATCCAAGGGCCTACGCCAGAGGCTTCGCGAGCCTTCGCCGCACATAATGTATCACACAAATGCCTTCGCAAACATTTGGTGAGTTACAGCCTAGTCTAATCTAAATTATATATATATATCATTCAATAAAAAATGCTACTCAAGTGAAGAAACATAAAGAAACCATGGCCGCGGCCACGAATCATCCATTGCCCAGTACTGTTCTCCGCCGGGTCATAGAGCGCATGCCGCTTGCCATGGAGGAAAGGACGAAGGGCATCTCTCAAATCCTGGTCCATCAGGCCACGTCCGGGATTCACGGAGAACGAAATCACCCCATGGTGGAGAACTTGCTTAGCTTGCTATCGCTCCAAAACCTTTCACGCCATGCCATAGCCAGCTCGCCTCAGAGGGTAAAAATCTCTCAATGTGCCATCTGATGATGTCAAGAGTTCAAGGCCTGCGGCACCTACGCTTACGCCCTGCGTGTGTGCAGGGTCCAAGCGAATGGTTCGTAGCAGTTGCTCCTGCACTTCAGGCGCCGCCTGGCGGAGAACCTGCGTTGCCTTTTCATTGAGCTCATGGTCGATGAGAAACTGTTCCAGGGCCGGGTTGGATCGCTCCAGAACCCTGCGGCTGGCTGGGGTGCGAGCGCGACTCCGCCGTCGAGCTGTTTGAAGCCTCCTCCCCCCTCGTTGTCGGACTTTTTGCGAAGGAGTCTGTAAAGGCAACTGAGCAGGAGATCGCGCGGGCGGCCGGGCAGGAGATCGCGAAGGCGACCGAGGCTTGAATGGGCGATGGCGATCTTTGAGAGCAGATCCCAGGGCGATGGGTGGTGTTTTCGGCGGATCTTGAGGCAGATCCATGGAAGGCGGAGGAGGCCTCGCTCCATGCCTGGCAAGCCACCCATGCACCAATAGTAGTGTTCTGACACCTTCTCCGGATCATTCCAATCCCTTTTGCTGGAATCAGGAAAGCCACATTCGTCATGCGGCTTTGTCGTCACTTTTCAACCTGCATCCACAACTAGGTCTCTGTAGGCCTTTCGATTGAAATGCATGTAGTCCTTCTCTTCGACTCTGTCCCTCTTGCCCTGAAGCCACTCTTCAAAAGGCACTGCGGCTGCCTCATCTATCACACCGACTTCTTCCGCCAAACTATCCTCCTTGGTGCTGGTGGTGGTGCATTCGGACGCTCAAGATAAAGCATAAATATATATATATATAGAATAGTTCTGGGAGACAAATGACTAGAAATGCTATATGGCCAACGGAAAGGGCGGACACCACCAGTGACAGACGTGGGAGACAAATGCATGGAAATGCTACATGGCCAGCGGAAAAGGGCGGACACCAGCAGTGACAGACCTGGGGGACGAATGAATAGAAACGCTACATGGACAGACCTGGCAGACAAATGAATAGAAATGCTACATGGCCAGCGGAAAAGGGGAGACAACAGCAGTGACGTACCTGGAAGACAAATGAATAGAAATGCTACATGGCCAGCGGAAAAAGGCGGACACCACCAGTGACAGACCTGGGACATGGCCAACGGAAAAGGGCGGACACCAGCAGTGACAGTGAGACAAATGAATAGAAACGCTACATGGACAGACCTGGGAGACAAATGAATAGAAATGCTGCATAGTTAATGGAAAAGGGCGGACACCAGCAGTGACAAACCTTGGAGACAAATGAATAGAAATGCTACATGGCCAGCGGAAAAGGGTGGACACCAGCAGCGACAGACCTGGGAGACAAATAAATAGTAATGCTACATGGCCAGCGGAAAAGGGCGGACACCAGCAGTGACACAAAGGGCGGACACATCTTAAGAAAGAATTGAGTACCCCTAACAGTAAACTGTTTGGGGAAAAATATCGATCCAATTTGAAAAAAGAATCACTTCCAGCAAGGGGCTGTAGTCCCGATGCATATCATCGCCATCCAAATCTCGCCCCTGACTGAACCAGGTTTGCCGTTTTGCCTGGACTTCTCAGCTTAGAGCATCAGCTAGAGCCAACCGCCACCAGCTCAAGGTATCTGCCACCATGGTGACCTCAGCACTCACACTGCATGCACATGATCCCGCCTAAAGATTGCTATCCCGCCCATATTGGCGAACTTTGAACAAACTCTCAGTTCCTGGTTTTCGCAAGCAGTCTGATCATCAGAAAAACAATCATACGAGCATAGACTCCAATCAGTTCCAGCAGGAGTTTTTTGAATCCCAGCGTTGGTGGAACGTCTTTAACTACATTTCTCTGGCCTTAAATGTGCTTGGGAACAGCATGTAGACCAAACAAAAAGATTTCGATTGGGAACAGGAACAGGAAGGAATCAAACCCGAGCAAGACGGTGGAGAAAGGGAAAGCGGCGCGGCCAAGCAGGGGACAAGGCCTCGACAAGGCGGTGATAAGAGGGCTGACACTAAACTGTTTGGGGAATAATATGAAGATGCCCAGCCACGTGGTGCGCAGCCATGCGCATCGACACCTTGCGGCCTCACAAACTGCCAACTTCCCTCAAGTTCTGACCCAGAAGATGGTTGGACACTCCTGGATCTTCCCAAGGAAAGTTAAGTTGCATTCTATTCAGTTGCAGTTTTATGTCGCAAGATTCTGTCAAACCACCCCAAATCCCTCAATCTGGCTAACCATCCCCCTCCGTCCTGAGTCCACTGTCAAGTCCTTCAAAAGCTGCAAAAGCGAAGGCAACGAGTGGAAGCGCAGGAGGTGAGGCAGCGTGGCCCACTCCTTAAACCCAAATGAATGGTCCCAATGGTTTTTGATTGATGGTCCTATACACTTCTGGACAGCTCCTTCAAGGCCTTTATTCATCCGTAAAGGAATACATCTTAAGGCGAATCCCACGAACAGATGCTAGTTGACATCCCCGAATGCAACATTGGTGGATGTCTTTAGGTTTTGCCAAGGCTCTGTGAACTGGTACCAGTACCGCCGGTCGTCGATGAAGCGATGGATGGACCATGATTGCCTCAGCAACCACCCTCAACATGCCCAAAGTGCAGACATCCTCCTGCAACCGAACTTATACTTACATACAGCTACTACTGTAATGACTCATGACCATCTGAAACCAAGAATATCCTTGCACCCATAGGAATCCTCACCAGGAACAACCACTAAAACACATTGCCACATTGCATCTACTCAGAGGTTTCTGTTGTGCAAACCACATGCTAAAGCCTTTCCCTGCCCCTTCCTAATGAATCCACAGGGCAGGTAGTTGCTGGCATGGAAGGCGGGTGCATCCGTCTGTGTTCGCAGCTCTGGTGGCGCCCGCTCCAGGTATCGGGTCTCGGCATCGTAGCCTCAGCAGGCATTGACAGGGACCACCACCACCACCACCACCAAACCCCGTTGTACACTCCTTTGAGGTGGCCTCTGCTGGTTGTGGGAAAGTGACGCAACCGGATCTATTGGCGCTTTTCTCTTTTCATGCAACTTCAACTGTTCAAAAGATCATGACAATGACAATAGCGCTTTAGTTCCCATTGGCACGTTCTGTGAACTCTATATTATATTAAATGACAAGTTCCCTAGCAAACAAATAGACTTATACAATGTTTCTTGAGCTCCGCGCACCTCCAAATGTCCTGCTGCTCCAAACAAAGTTCTGCACTAGTGGCTCCTGGAACGCTTGAAACCAAAATACTTATGGTGGTACATGGTTGCAAACTGTCTGCAACCTTGAGTTTTCAAGCCCCTGTCTAGTGAGTGAAATCCTCCCAGCTGCAAAGAAACACAGACGGGTGGAAATTACAGGCAAACCGGGTCAACCGAACATCGGTGCAGTGTTGTCCTCCGGCACCACAGCTGGGATGTTGGCGGCATAGATGTCCGAGAGGCGCAACGCATTGGGGCCGTGCGGCACAAAGATCACGCAGTGGAAAGTCGCGATCCTCGGAAGAGGCCTTTTTGCTTTAGCCCGTGACCTGCCCCCTACCTACTTGATTAAGCCCAAAGTTAGCTCCTAGCCCAGGTAGGACTTTCCTTGAAAAAGCGCTCGCACTGTTCATTTGGTTCCTACATTGTGAGAAAACATGGCAAGCTGGATGAAGACCGCCGCAAAGCCGCTGGAGTCAGTTCATATAATATATGTGCAAAATCAATCATTACACAGTAGTAGTAGTGTACTTGGTGCCCTCCCTGCTGCTAGAATTTCTACAATAATGGACTGTATGACTGTACGTTTGAGTCTTTCCCTGCCATCTCAGATTGCCTCTGCTGTCACTTTAATAAGGCTCATTTCACCATGTCCCTTTGGCACCCAGATACTCCTCAAAGCTCAAAGCTTTCTTGAAGTCATTCATGTCCATCACCTTCCAAAAAAGGCTTCATATGCTGCCCAAAACGCCAGCGGTTAGAGAAAGCGAACAGGGACAATGGCAACTAGGAGCTATGTCTCATCGGATGCAAAATCTGAACTGTATGATGGGGATTCAAATCACCAGCTTCGCTGAAGCACAAACTTCCTTTTCTGACTCCACAGTGCCAAAACACCTCACAAAAAAACTACACTTTGGATCGCCCGACCTCTGATTCCCCGATTGGAGGGAGATTTGGGGATCCTCCACATCCCACCAAGGCCTTCATGGGAAAGTTCTCCGTTGAGTCCACAAACATCCGCAGAGCGCTTCGGAAGGCCAACCTGATCAAGGGTTTCTTGTGTTTGGCTTTGCAAGATTTCATAGGTATACTATGTGATATACTGGTTTGAAAGGCAAAAGGCTGCTGGCAACTACTGAGTTTGACACCTTGCAAGGTCGTCTTCATATTTGTCTCTACCCCACCGGCCGAGGAGCGTGTTTTGCCGATTGTTCCGAAAGATCAAGGCTCTTCTCTCCTCCACTGGAGCGTACCTGCTTGGAGTGCAGTCACGACCGAAAATGATTGCTGAGCCTGCATGTGCTTTGCCATCTTGCCTGGTTTGGATACCCAGGCCAATGAACGGCACATAGGGGAGCTGCCAGCCACTCTGATGGGCCACCTGCCAGCGCGCTGTGGCGACCCCCATGAAATTCAATGTTCAAAAATTTCATGTCAAGCGCATGACAGCCCCCCCCACATTTCATGGGCGCGTGGTCAGCATGCTTCGTTGCATCAAGCCACCTGCTCAATGGTGGTTCGACACGCAACAGAGGGAAGCATGCGCCGCTCTTCTAGCATCGACTTGAAGCCGGACCAAAAGCCTCACTGATGAAAAAATCCAAATGATTGGGCCATCACTATTAGGTTAGGGGCCATCGTTTTTATATAGGTTGGAGGCCATCGACATCGCTAGTAGTAGGTTAGAATCTCACTGTATCTTGAAGCAGTCCAAATACGACTAAGTACTCTATCTTTCACTACTAATACTCTTCAACGGAAACAAGGTGTGTCAACAGCAGAATTTTCGATGTCCAACAAATCACAACACCATCGTGCCCTGAGACCTTGAAGCCAAGCAACTCCACAAGTCGCCCTCATTGGTAGTGGGGAACCTGAGGAAGATGGTCGTTCTTCAGGATCACGCTGCTGTCGTTCTTCAGTTGGGACTCTGCAACAGATGCATCCATGTCAGCTCATGAGAACACTTGTACTTTTTCCCATATGTTTGGGCCCAAAGAAAGGGGGGCCCTTTGTGAGCCGCACTTCACCGCCAGGAAGGCACAGGTGGATCGCTGAGGCCCTACGGAAAGGGTCACGGCGGCCTTTGAGCATAGCTTGCTTGGTGTTGGACACACTCCCTTTGTTTCGAGCCCTTTGCGCTGCCCCTGCGCTCCGCTACATTGGTATCGGAGCGAAAGCTCCAGGACCACACCATCGAAGATTGGTTTGAACTCCGTGGCCTCCCCTTTTTGCTTTGGTTTTGCGCTCTAGCTGCTTGCGCGAGCTTGCAGGTCGCTCCCTTTGCGCACTGAGTCTTCATTGACTACTTTGACCTCGTCCCTGCCTTTGACCTTTTGGCCCTGCACAGCACGCGCTGCTTGCACCAGGTCGACTCGGCGCTCAGCACGTTGAAGGCCGACGCCATGGAGTTCGCTCCAGAGCAGGCGAGCCCTGATCAAGGATCGACTGAACCTCTGCGTCGTTTGACCCAACAGCTTTGCGCTTCAACTTCCAGGTCCTCCATGAAATGAGGATGGTGGGAACGATCTGTCCCTTCAAGGCCAGTGGCATGGTTGCCAGCGTCAGTGGAGTCGCCCTGTGGGCGATTCAGGTGTGACTGGTCACCCATGGAGATGAGGTGACATCACTCCACTTCTTCGTGCCCTTGAGAAGGAAGAACTCGAGCTTGAAACCTCGCCAATCATGCGCTGGATCTTGCGGGCTGTTTCAAGCGTGCCAATGGTCACCACTTCAGTCAGGAGCAGGTTGCACCTTGCACAGATTTGTGGTTGACATTGGATGGCCAACCATTGAAGTGCGCCAAGGGCCGTGCGGCAGGCGGCTGTTTCCGCCTTGTTGAGGATGCCATCCTGCCGAAGGCGATCTGGGGGGATGTCCACGTCCACCAGGGTCTCGATATAGGAGTCCTGGTCAACGGTGATCTTGAAGAAGCCATCCACTTCCCAATTTGTAGGAAGCCAGGATGCGGTCATAGATCATCTTCCACTCGTCAGAGTGAGAGGAATCGTCCACTCGGCCACATCTAAGCCAAGAGCTTCCCAGGGACCGAAGTGCGCGTGAGTCGCAGCTGAAACACATTGCCACTGGAGATGCCACCAGGTCGTAGACCATGACATGTAGGGCACCGGAAGTCATAGGCCATCTTGACCTTCCAAGGTTCCAGGTTGGCATCGCGGACAATGCGGGCCAGGTTCCGTCCAGAGCAGTGGCCAGCAGCCTTGTGGAAGTGAGTCAACTTCACACACCATCGATCACGTTCTTGATCGGAAGGAGGCTCATTGCTAGGAGCTGCTCGTTCAGGTGATTCATCTTCAGCAGCAGCGGCTGCCTGAAGAGGTAGAAGATCTCCATCAAAAGTCTCTTCAGGAATGTCGTGGTAGTTCATGCACCTGATGAGCTTGTTGGAAGTTGACTGTGACGCCCAAAATCTGGTGAAGGATTGCACCATTTGCCACAGGTAGTAGGCGGTCTTGGCGGTCTCACTGCCTTCAATGCGACCATGGCAGTGTCCACCACAGCATACCTTTGCCCGGAACTGGGCATGAAAGGAGTTGTCATTGGTCTTGATCATCCAGATCTTTTGGAGAAGATCACCATGACCATGGTGATCTCGGAGATGATAGCGGCATCCGTCAATGCGGCAAGTGTCCCAGTCGAGGCCATACTCCTCCATGAGGTGAGCTATAGCCATCAAGGGGGATTGAGACCAGCCATGGCAAGGATGAGGCCATTCCCAGTAGAGCAACGCCTCGGGATCTTCATCGATGGTCTCCTTGATGAAGTGATAGGCCTTCCATAGCATCCTTCTCTCACGCCTGCCGTAGGCCTCCAGCACTTCTTTCAACTCAGGAGTGCATAGTCCACGGAGGTCCATGGACACCACTTCGTGCAGGGCAAAGAGACTCATAGACGCCGAGGCCGGTGTCGTCGGCGAGGATCACGAAGTTTGTTCCAAGTGTCATCCTTATAGAGATCATAGCCAGCTTCCAGGTTGATCCTGCGAGGATTGAGGCCATGTTGATCAGCAGATTGGCTCAGCCAGGAATGAGGGGCACATGACCATCTCGGCTTCCACTCATGAGCTGAGTTGTTTTTGCCCTGGTGCAACAGATGCATTCACGTCAGCTCATGAGAGCACTTGTACTTTTTCCCATATGTTTGGGCCCAAAGAAGGGGCCCCTTTGTGAGCCGCACTTGACCGCCATGAAGGCACAGGTGGATCGCTGAGGTCCTACGGAAAAGGTCACGGCGGCCTTTGAGCATAGCTTGCTTGGTGTTGGACACACTCCCTTTGTTTCGAGCCCTTTGCGCTGCCCCTGCGCTCCGCCACAGACTCTGAACATCTGTGAACAGGTGCTCACCAGGTGCTCAACAATCTATCAAATCTAAGGTCCTTCGTGGTGTTTCGAAAAGAACACTCGACTGCATTCCCCGATTGACCCAGTCACGCACCCTATACCGCCAAGCAACTCATTGAGCAAAGCCATGTGCAATACGCCCAACATCACCTTCGACCGCCTGCAAACTTGGCAGAGAATGGCTCAAGAACACCGCTGGATTGGAGGGCTCCATGAGGTCTGATTGTGGTTTAGTCACTTAAACGTTTAACCTTTCAAACTTGGTTCAAGAGGTAGCCAGTGACCACAGGTGAACACCTCGAGAAACCTGTAGCTACACCACGATCCCAACATCGCCTCAGTCGCAGGTAGGGGCACAACCACATGGGTTCGCTGCAAATCACCAACTCCGCATCCTCCAAGCCTTTCGCTTCATGCGGCAGCCAGACCTGGCCCACCAGGATTCGTACAAATCACCAGGTCTCAAGATGGGGTAATAGAAGCAAGATAGATCAAAATATATAGTGGAATATGTTGTAATGATAATATTGAATATGAGTATGAGCGATCCTGTTGGCGGAAGATCCATGACATCGGATGATGGTGAATGCCAACTACCCGTTCTACTGCGAAAGTCGTCGGAACAGCGAACTGTTTGGAACGGTTAATGCTTGAAAATGCTCATGTTCCTTCAGGATTCCTTGCAGACAGGCTGGATCACCCCTGCCAGCTGTGACATTTGGACATACATGGGCATACACTGTACATACATCCTTTGCAAAACTAACCTGACATCTTTCTTCTCAACAAAGGACCAGTTCTTGCGAGTTGGACACACGACCCATCCCATCAACAAAGCCACATTCCAGCCTGGCCCACTTCCTCCATAGTCAATCGCCCCTCTTGGACAGCTTGGAACATGGCTTTCAAGGTCGCAAATTCCTTGGGAATCGCGGTGCGTGTGTCTCATCCTTAAGAATCACTGCAAGTGGATCCCTCTTGGCACTATCAAGTATGTCGACAAAACACTTGGGTGGAAAGAAACTGATTGGGCATGCAGGAAACCTTTGGAGATGGCCATGGATATGTTGATGAGTCAAGAACCCAAAATGCTAGGCTCGGCCACTAAAATGCCTGGCCGCTGGCCCTTAGCCATGGCTGCCAGCCACAGGCAATATTCACGTCAGAATGATGAACACCAAACACGTCTCAGGAAGATGGAGGCAACACTCGAGAATATTCACTCGGTTTAGCAGAGCTTGTCACTGAAAAAGGAGAGAAAATATCAGGACGGGCATCTGCTACGACATGTTGCTGCAGCCAAACACCCATCTCCGTGTTCCGAAGCGCTTTTACCTTAATGTGCACTGTGCAAGGGAGTGGTGGATGACCATACCCGGTCCAAAAGGTCAATGGATTCTACAACCATCAAAAAGAAGTTCCTTCAAGAAGCTACTAGGAACAAGGGCATCGCTACTAGGAACAAGAAGCTACTAGGAACATTGTTGGAGTATTGGACCTGAAAAAACAAACCTTGCACATTCACGTCGAAACCACTAGTGGCTTCATCACAAAGGGTCTGTCTGGTCTGATGCTCACTAGATTCTCGCAAGCTTGCACGCAATGAAAACTTGTTCGCTTTTCCTTGCTACTACCTCAAGCTGCATCATTAATAATGCCTGTGTCCCAAATTCAATCATGTAGCACTGCGAAACATCTCCTGACACTTTGCACCAAGCTGCTTGAGTAAAGAACAGCTGCACCTGGTCAATCGTTGGCTCCGGGTTTTGCAGGCCGGAGAGAGACCGCAAAGCAGCCTGCAACAACAGGTGCACCATGACAAGACTTGTCGCCGCTAGGTTTTGGCTAGCAGAATGTTGGCGATACCATACTTGCACGTGAAATCCATCGACCTGTTTTAGACCAACGCTTTGCGTCAGACAGACCCTGGAAGGGGTCAAAGGGGCCTGGCCTTGTGACAATGTTGGTGTGCCCAGGCACTTAACGCTTTGGGCACGTTCTTTCTTTACAGTGACTGCGTTTGGCACTCCAGCACAAACTTGATTACTGGAGCCCTTTTGGACCATCGGGGGTCCACGGCTGCAGATCGAATGTCAGGAGTTGTCTTTGTCGCTTCTGAACGCAACGTTTTCACACGGGAAGGAGGTCCGAGGTCCGTCCATTCCTGTGACTGTTTGACTCGAAATAGATGGTGTACTGCAGCCTGGAGACCCACTTGTTAGCATCCTTTGGGTGACCTGACTCCACTCTCCCACTCAACAGCACTATGGGCACTGCCTTGACCGCATCCCTGCCCTGTAACTTTGCCCGGTCCACACCGCAGACACGGAACCTCTCCACCTAGTCGCGTGAGTAGTTTGGCACCACAACGTTCCCGTCTCTCATTGCGTGACGAGGTTACAAGGGTAGGTTCGTTGCATGGGGACAATTCCACAAGCCAGCTTCATGTGTCCGCCTTACAAATACAAATTTAACCGGGTCAGCGGCCGGCGGCAGCCCGATTATAATTGTGGCTTGCGTTGAATCTATTCTATACTATACTCTACTATTTTATACTATTTTGTAATACTAGTTTAAAGTGGGACTATCCAAAATTGTATCACATCTCGAGCAAGAGCACGATAAGCCCGGCCTTCACGCTGGACAAGAGTTCCCATGCTGTTCCATCATGGAACTGCAGCATGGCAATCCTCCAATTTCACAAGAAGTGGACAGCTGCTTTGCAGGAATGGCGTGCAAAGCCCACCTCCCATTCAAGTCTTGAATTCACCAACACACATTTGCGCAGAAGTGCAAATGTGAAAAACATAAGGGCGGCACATGAGCCTCCCTAGGGCAGGCCCTAGGCGTTTAGTAGCGTCTTCTACCCACCCCCCCCGCGTGCGGGAACTAGTAGCGTCCTTGTTACTAGTAGTAAGGCCAGGAGCCCCGAGTAGCGTCCTTGCTCCTAGTAGCGATGCCCTTTGCTCCTAGTAGCTCCTTTGTCAAACTAAACCTGCTTGGAGAATTCAATCCGTCCTAAGTCTCGGCAGGATCGAAGGCATGGTACTGCCACGAGGTCTCAGCGCTGTGCTGTGCCACGGTGGAAGGCGAGCTGCTGGTACAGGGAAAAGCTCCTGATATGAGAATTTGATAGACAAACTGACTTAACAATTGCAAACATCATGCAATCTCTTGCTCAACGAATAACTACGCCAGTCGTTTGGAGAAATGCTATTGCTCTACAATTCCTCATTGCGATGGCTTCCCGGCCCACTTTCTTGCTTGACCTGTAGCTGATCCAGCTAGCGCACACAATGAATCTCCTGATATTCGACATAGGACTTGAAGTTTCCTCAGTTGCTGCGTAAGAAAGAGGAAGCGTCGCTATGAATTCCGAAATCTTGCACTTCCGACATGGCAAGTAACCTGCTACCTTTGGCAGGATGCTCCCACTGGGATAGTGGTGGGTCAGCAACTTCGCCATTCAAGCAACCAACTGAGAGCATCACACAGCCACAGGGCATCTTGCTTAATCTGCTTTCTTTTTTGTTTGGTGGCAATTAGAAAGATGGACAGGAAGTTGGGTTTGGAGTGAATCTTTAAAGCATGAGGGAAACTGTCGAACCGCGTTTTGCCAAGCCCAGTTGAAACGTGATCTACGTCAAGAGTCAGATTGATCAAAGGTATCTACTCCAAGAAGCGTTCGGAGTCCAGATTTACCGCCATGTCATAAAGAGAGACGTTCCAGGTTGTGCTGGCAAATAAGTCCTTGGAAGGGTTGAAAGATGTTGAAAGCTTCCAAATGACATGGTGGTGTGCTGCTACCTATTGATGCTCCTCAAAGGGCAGTCTGCCGGAAGCTTCTGAAACCAACGACTTGAAATCGACAAAGCGATTTCAGCACTCTCAAAGAAAGACGAGCATCATAAGTGTAGTACGGTGCATGAAGAAGGACTTCAATGCTCGCCGTCAGCGCGCTTGACACCTGCAAAAATGCGAGTCCGATTCCCAGCAATTCAATGGGCCCTCCTCCTTTCAGTGTCTCTGCCAAGCCAACCACAAAGTGATTGAAGGATCGATCCCATGAAGCACTGCTGACTTTGGACATTTGCGGAGTCCACAAATCTAAAATCTCAGTGAATGATGAATGGAACAAAACCCAAAAAAGAGATTCTAAAATATTCTAAAGCCTTGGCCTTATCAACGGATTCTCCCTTTCCTATCCCCAATATGACACATTATGACACTATGGTTCCTCAGGCCACGTAAGCATCGTTAGGAGCCGTGCCTCCTGTCGCAGCTCCGAGTGACCCAGGAGCTGGAATCCCACCAACACAGCATATTCCTCAGCGCACTGTGTCAGTAGGCGCTCAGTAGCCCTTGCTTTTGCCGTCAGTGTCGCTCGCCAAGTGGGGAAGGAACCGTGTGGAAGATAGAAAGACGTCCCTGCATGACTATCAGGGAAGGCCACGTGCCTGATTCCAAGAAAGCATCCAGTAAAATGAGCTCCAAAGGTCTGTTCCAGAGCTTGGGGCTCACAACATCTCACAACTACAAAACACACGCACGCACCGCTTTGTTGCACAGACACTTGCCCAAAAAGAAGTAATTACAGGAGCAAGCAAATCCCTAGTTTTGCACAGACCCTTCCAGCCCAAGCTTCCAATGCCAAAAATCCATACGGGCAATCCATCTCCTGAATGTCTCCATGTTGGCCCCGCTTTTCCATCAGCTCTGAAAAGCCTACAGGACCAAACAAGACCAAGGCAGGCCGGCGCAACGCTAGCAAAGCCAGAAAAGGGGTGTGAGGCTCCCAAATCCCAGAGGTAAGAACAAACCAGGGGTTGAGTCAAAAGCGATAAAATACGATGGCACCAAGGCACTCACGTTAGCGCTGGTCTCCACTCCAAAGAAGTCTGCTAGCAGCATGACCTTCGTGCAAAGTGTGACACGAAGGGTCCATGTGATCATTGGAAACAAATTGTCCTCCCACATCCAATCTTGCAATGACAAATCAATTCATAAACTCTGTATGTATAAATATTATATGTTTATATATAATAATATATATATAATTGTGTATCTTCAACCATCCAAAATCGAAAACTGGCCTGGCGGAGCATCCAAGCCCCAGCGCCAGCTGAGACCTGAACTAACTAGAAGCGAGCATCCCAAATGTCTGTGTGTCTGCCTCCTTGACTCCAAAATCCTGCGTTTTAGATCGAGACTGCCTCAGGTTCTCAAAGAGTAAGCCCACAAACAATTGCGTCTTGTAACCTATCCCAATAATTCAAAAGACACAAAATCGGTCAATCTGGCACTTGAGTTCAATGTCATTCTGACAATTCAATCTCCACATCCTGCATCTTCAGCCGCAGCATTGAAAAACAAAAATCCACCTTGAGGGTGGTGTGCCAAGGCATGTCTTCCAACTCATCATATCCAGCACCCAAGTCAAGCCTGCAGTATACTCCAAAAGCAATGGATCAGTTCAAGATCTTTCACTGTACGCAACCCTGCTAAAGATGGTCCTCAATATGACTTTCGATGCCTAGCCATCTCCCCGTCTGGAGCATTGTGAACACAATTACATCCACGCATGGCCCCCCCCATAAGATCCTTTGACGCCAAGAAACTGATTGTGCATGTTGTACGCAAAGCGAAAGGTCTCTTTACTGTGCCAACCATGTGTAGAAAGGACATTGTAGAAGCGCTGATACACCTGGCTGTGTAGGCAATGGAGGAAGCCATTCAAGCCTGGCAAATGGACTGGCGTCCGACATGGATCTCATTTAGAAAATCCATTTGCAAATGGGGAATGATCGCAGAAAACAAACAGAATACAAAAATGTTGTGGCATCTTGTGACTCACCCGTTTCAGTTTGACACCCAAACAGCGTGCTACTCTATGGTCGAAGTGCCCACGCAGCCTCCTGTCACGGCCACATGTTTCTCCTTTCCCGCTGAAGCTGCCCCAACAGCAAGCACAAACCACAGGCTTCTGCACATGCTTGGCGAAAGACTTGCGGCATGCTGGATTAGAGGTCAAAGGTTGGGTTTCCAGTCATGTAACATAGTGATGATGCTCTCCTCGAACAGCTGGTGACAAATGCTGCGTACAGTAGTCTCTGCTTCGATCACAAACAATGGATGCCTGCACAAGTTTGACTTCCACGTCAGACTTGAGCCCAGTTCCGGGGTTCCAGTTTTCCAGGTAAACAGCTTCGGTCAGGGCATGCCTTCATCATTAATGTGGCCTTCAAAGTCTGAGTGAATCTTAGCAAGGAATCGGGTTGGTGTTTCCAACATGTGTTTCATAGAGAAACATATGCTTGTAAGCTCACATAGTTTCTGGCAAGCTACCAACAAACCCTACCTGCAATTATATAAGATACCTCACAAAATCTTCTGGGCAACAAAGTCAAACCACGAAAGACCATCCCTTTGGCACAGCTTCCTCTTTTCTTCAGCCCGCAGGCATGGCATCACTGGATGACCGCCTTGGACTTGACCGCGAGAAGGTGCATCTTTGGCAACCTGCTCATGCAGAGCAATAGGGCGGGTTTTCATCCCGCATACGATGCGACAAAGCAAAACCACAAGATCCAAACGGCGGGTGGGAGTGTCATGGCCTGCATTGTCGCCTTGGCAGTTCTCCTGAAACGAATAGCTTCTTGTTACTAGCAGCGATGCCCTTGCTTCTAGTAGCTTCTTGTTCCTAGTAGCGATGCCGGGAGCTACTAGTAGCGTCCTTGCTCCTAGTAGCAATGCTTAACTGAGCCAAGGATGACTTGAACCAGAAATTGACAAGTGAGACTGACCTCACGAAGACGAACTGCTTCGGGTAGACGAAGGTCAAAGTGGTCCTTCAAGCAGAAAACAAGGATAAAGATATGAGAATCCACAAAAAACAAAGGCAGTCATGAAAAAGCAGCTGAAGGAAGTCCTCGTCTTCCCGTTCCAAACCAGTCCTCTGATCCATGTGCTATGATTTCTGGGACACCGGTTTCAGTTGCAGCCTTGTTCGCAGCAAATCGGAATTAATTAGTTGCCAAGCTGCAGTGCACCCCTCGGCAAACAAAGCTGCTCTGTCGCTGGAGTCGTGCTTTCGTTCTCATCGGCAAACAGTGGACATGCCGATGCGTCCTGCGCGCCAAGGTGGCCTTGGGACTTCAGGGTCCAAATCCATGGCCCCTTCAGTGAACCAGTTTTCCCTGGCTCCTCTGGGATATACTTTGCCAAAGGCAGCGGCACCGTGGCACAAGCACCACATACCTCTCAGCCAAGGTCTAGCCACGGAGACATCCCCACAATTGACCGAGAGCATGACGACTATGAGCAAGGAGAGGTGATTAAAGTTGTGCGCAGTAACCTCAAACAGCAAGGACGGATCGGGTCTCTACCATGTCACCCCAAAAGCCGAACATCCCTCTGTGCCAGGGCAGCGACCCCGAGCAGGTGGGACATGCCAGCAGAAGTCACCTGTGTCGGTCGAACCGAATAGCTTCTTGTTACTAGTAGCAAGAATGCTACTAGTAGTAATGCCCTTTGTTACTAGTAGCGATGCCCTTGTTCCTAGTAGCGATGCCAGGAGCTACTAACTGGATGAATGGATCTTCAACCGTCTCCTGCCAAAGCTTTGACTGTGCCTTGTTGATCGCCCGCGAGGTTTGCAACAGCGAATACTCGGATGCGGAGCACAGTGTGGTGATGGCACGAATCGAGAATTCCCAAGGTTTCAGGTTTGATTATACAACTTATGGCATGCTTTGCACCAGCAATGAGCTGAGCTTCTCGCCAACAAGGAGACACTGGTGCTCTCTAGCCCCAAAGGCCCCAGGTCAGCCTCAACTCACTGCACTTTTACTGCACTGGACCTTGGGAACAAGGTTCCAAAAAGGTTGCCGAGAACTGGGCAAAGCGCGAAAACACTGGAAGGACCTGGAGTGATTGAGTCATGGTGTATGTCCAGGATGAACATGGCTGAAGAGGCAGAAAAGAAAGAAAGCCCCTAGTAGCGTCCTTGCTCCTAGTAGCGATGCCAGGAGCCCCT